AGCTAGCTTCTGCTTCTTCATTTTTTTAATTTTTGGTCCCGAGAAGATCGGCCATGGGAGAGAGGATCAACGAAGCAGAAAGTGTAGAGAATGAGAGGTTTCCTCTGCTAAAAGATTATCAAAATGCTTCAGAGAAAGAAGAAGTCGGAGAAATATGGGTCGAGACGAAGAAGCTATGGCGAATCGTTGGACCAGCCATATTCACCAGAGTCACGACCTACTCGATATTCGTCATCACTCAGGCCTTTGCAGGCCACCTCGGCGAGCTAGAACTTGCCGCAATATCTATCGTCAACAACCTTATCATCGGCTTCAACTTTGGCCTCCTCGTATANACACACACACATAAAGATAGAATTTTTTTAATATGTGGCTTATATTAAATATAATGTTTTCTTTGTGAAGAAACAATATTTATGTATACATGCAGCTTGGAATGGCGAGTGCATTGGATACATTGTGCGGTCAAGCGTTTGGAGCAAAGAAGTATGACATGTTGGGAGTTTATCTGCAAAGATCTTGGATTGTTCTCTTCTTATGCTCTATTTTGCTCCTCCCTATGTACTTCTTTGTGACTCCGATTCTTAAGTTACTCGGCCAGCCTGATGACGTCGCTGAGCTCTCGGGTACCATCGCGGTTTGGGTTATTCCTATCCACTTTGTCCTCTCCTTAGTTTTTCCAATCAATCGATTCCTCCGATGCCAGATGAAGAATAAGGTATGTATCTAAGTTCGTGACGGATATGACTCGGATTTTGGGTAGATTGGTATGAATCTTCATGTTAAGTTGTATTAGAAAGTTTCCTTTTTCTATGCTGAATTTGTGAATTCGGATCAAAACTTGTGAATGATGAATAGAAAACGGACTTGTCTGCATGCATCGTATGCCCCGTCCTTTCCCACTAATTAAAAGTCAAATAAGTTGTTAAGAATATTTTGACGGATTTGAATGGTATGCAATTTAGACAAGAGGAACGCAGAAGAATTAAATAGTGAAAAAAAAAAACATAAATGATAGGTAGTGGGGAAATTTTATATTCAGCTCTACATCTATAAACCAATATATAGTTAAAGCTTTATATGATGTTGTTCTTGTGCTCTGATTTTTTCAAAGATGTAATATTTTTATTTTTGATTGGTCAAAAATTAAAATTATAAGATAAACTAAACCATTTTCCTTCCTTTAGGTAACCAGTCACAATCACATATCATTTGACTTGACAAGCATAACGATTTACTCCGAAATTTAAGGAGTGGACTTTTTTTTTTTTTTTAACTTAGGAGTGGACTTTCTTGATATTAGACGTATTGCTAAATGTGTTTGATTAATATTCTCTCAATTACATTACCAGGTGGTTGCAATTTCGTCTGGAGTGGCACTTGCAGTTCACGTATGTGTGTGCTGGCTTTTTGTGTACGGTCTCAAACTTGGAGTCATAGGGACCATGGCTACTATTAACGTATCATGGTGGCTCAATGCTCTCATCTTATTAACGTATGTCACTTGCGGCGGTTGTCCGCTCACTTGGACCGGTTTCTCAATCGAAGCTTTCACTGGACTATGGGAATACGCTAAGCTTTCTGCCTCCTCAGGAATCATGCTTTGGTACTATACGTTAATCGCCACTTGTCACATTTTTTTTTGTTTTTTATTGGTTTACGGATCAGAACACAACTTCTAACGGTTGGTTTTTTTACCGAGGCAGCTTGGAAAATTGGTATTATAGGATTTTAATTGTGATGACTGGAAATTTGGAGAATGCAAAAATTGCTGTCGATTCTTTGTCTATATGGTACGTCAAAAATACATATATAATTCGGAGATTATTTTACTTTATCTGAAAAGTTTATCATATTTTTGATGAAAAAATTTCAATTTCAATTTGTATCGGCGTGCAGCATGTCGATAAATGGTTTAGAGATGATGATTCCAATTGCTTTCTTTGCCGGGACCAGGTAACCAATCTCTCATTCTTTTCTAACCATATCGTATAGATACTAAAAAAATTTGTTTGGTCTGATTTATATAATTACTATAAATCATGATCTAAAAACCTGTTAGTTCTGGTTAAACTAACTAGTTCATGGCTTATAAAACAATTGTTTATGTAGTGTCCGAGTGGCGAATGAATTAGGAGCAGGCAACGGAAAAGGAGCAAGATTTGCAATGATCGTATCAGTAACACAATCCTTAGCCATTGGAATAATCTTCTCGGTTCTCATTGTANTTTTTCATGATCAAATCGGTTGGATTTTCTCTTCAAGTGAAACCGTCATAGAAGCAGTCAATCATCTCTCTATTCTTTTAGCCTTTACCATTCTTCTCAACAGTATCCAGCCGGTTCTATCTGGTACGCCACACAAATTTTGTTTGCCCGATAAATAAACCGGGTCAACAATGGGTGTGTTGACTTTTTGACTTTTGATTAGGTGTTGCGGTTGGTTCGGGTTGGCAATCATTCGTGGCATANATAAACTTNGGATGCTANTATTTCATTGGACTTCCACTTGGATTTGTTATGGGATGGGTTTTCAACTCTGGTATTAAGGTAAAAGCCAGTTTTCTTGATTAACTTTATGTCAATGTTTGAAGTTTAATATCTCTATATAAATGTATGTCTATTGTGATTATATGTTAATAGGGCATGTGGGCTGGTATGATATTCGGCGGAACCGCTATACAAACATTGATATTGGTTCTTATTACTACTAGATGTGATTGGGAAAAAGAGGTAACTTTGTTTGGTTCGCGTATATATATATAGTTTTTTCATGCTCTTCATTAATTCAAAATCAAATGTTTCCTTGTATATTTCAAATTTTTGTAGGCACAAAAAGCAAGCGTGCGCGTAAACAAGTGGTCGCGCATTGAAGCAAGAAATTGAAAATTGTAGTCAATTGTAACATAACATAAATTTGGAGCATACATTCCATAAATTTAGGTCGTGTTTAGTGAGTAAAGCACATACTATATCATTTCAATCTCAGATGACAACTAGTAAACCGGTGTATCCATAACTTTCTCCCCCTTCAATTTATCAACCAACCACCAAACATCCTCCGCCAGACGGTTTGCAACACCAGAAAAATCCACTCAAACTTTCTTCGCATTCTCCAAGTCTCACGAAAACCGGATTCAAATCGTTCAAAACCGGGTTTATTCAGTCTTTCATTCAACATTTGAAGCCATACCACCATAACCTTTCTCATGACCTTCAAGTAGTCTTGGATCACAAGCTCTCTGATTTCATCCACCATCTTATTTTGTTACAAAGGTGGAATCTCTAGTTGGGTACATATACGCTGAAAGAAAGTCACAGTAGAATCGGTTTTTCTCATAATGAACCTGGTTTGGTAAGACGAGATACAA